TAGAATAATTGTAGTTTTTGTAGTGTTTGTATATACTTAGTTTTAAGCCCTTGAACGAAATTAGCAAAAACGTTAGCTATATGTCGAATTCCTTGGAATAAATGTGTCTTCCGGTTGAAAAAATCTTGCTGCATCGCTTTTAGTTTCAGGGCTTCTTGAACTCGTTAAACATAGAAAACCTTGGCCAGCAACTCCTTTAAACGGCTCAGTTTTTGTAATTCACGTAGAAGTGGAAGATAAGCTTTTCTGCAATCACACCGTTTTTACGTCTCTGATAACACAACACCATGAAACCACCTCTGTGATTCTTCTTATTGAAAGTGTTCTAAGTATGGAGCATTTTCCCATGTCGCTTGTGGGCCCGGGCTATATTTGTCCATAGATTGTTTTCAAACCACTTTGATGGAAGATGTTGCAGTATGTAGTACTTAAACTTTATCTCTAGATACTGTTTATGAGCAGACTTTTGTAAACCAAATTTTTGCCTAGGTTACCTGCTGTGGTTACTGACGATATCATTGCTTTCCCATTAAAAATGATAATGTTTTGTCAAATGATGTCAGTTGGCGTACGCACGGCATCAGAATCTATAATGAAATGACTTTCTAATCTAAAACTGATTCTACGCTTTATACAAAATGGTCATCCGAAACGACTGGAGAGTAAACCTTCATCTTCCATCCTCTTTGTTATAAGAGCAGAAATTCAGACATGATTTCATTATTTTGCAGAGCTGTCTATTAACACTTGCATTATGTTTCGTGACTTGCAATAGCAGTCATGCCTAAAAAGCTCAAATAGTGTTTAATATGAGAAGATATTCTCTAAGGAAAAGCAACATAATGCGCCAAAGCGAAATGTTTCCAACAGACTTTTACACAAGCAACATCAAACCGATTCTGTAAGATGCCGGCATTCGGCTTTCGAATCATACATAGTAAACAAGCATATCAGACGGATGTTGTGTGACGTAGTGAGCAAAGATTTAACTTCAGTGCTAAACTTTTAAAGAGCATTAGTAAAAATGATCTTTTACCGACAAATTAATCAAGTTTGGCTTAACAAATTTTCATCTTCTTCATCTTTCATCGCCGCTTCTCTTTTCGGGTCGCGGAGGAAGACGTGTCAGACAGTGCTTCCAACGTTCCCGATCCTGTGCCAGAGTTTGAGCTTCGGCAAAAGACAAATGCAGTCTGGAACGGACTCCTTCTATATATTTGCACCATGTTAATCTTGGCCGTTTCCTGGGCCTTCTGCCGGTAGGATTCGCAAGAAACAGTTGCTTTTTGCTTGGTCTTCCTTTCTAGAGGCAATTGCAACACATGTCCAAACCATCCCAGCTGTGACTTCTCAGTCTGGAGAAGCAAAGGCTGTATTCCAAGGCTCTTCCGAATGGCACTATTCCGGACCATGTCGAGACGCGTAAAGCCACCGACTCGACTAAGAAAGCCCATTTCAGCTGCCTGTACCCGAGTACAGTAAACCTTTTCAGTTTAAAATTCAGTGCTGATAATGTTGCAGTAGTGGGTAAGAGACCTCGTCTACTGTAGAAACGAAACTCTTTTTCAAGGCGATTTTGTGGTGCTTTCATAATGTAGGAGGAAATCCTTTATCCATTATGATACTGGGTGGTTTCTGGTATTTTCGATTAATTTGGTTCTTTAAAGGTACTTTGGTTAATTGGTTCCTAAGAGCAGAACGTTGTAAGTCGAGGCGCAGGAGCAGTTATGAATTTTACTTGACTTTTCTGACCCGTTGGCCAAACTTTGTGAATTTCGCGTTCTATTTTAGATAAACGATGTGATATATAATAGCAAAGTTTTTAACATTCATAAGATGACCGTGCATCCCTCTGCGTTGTGAGCAGCAGAATGCCGTTTTCGGTTTTCGGTAGTGAGGCGTTTAGGCCAGACGCTGGTCAGCCAACCCTATCACGACCTGGAGTTTACTAAGTGCCACCTTTCTGGATTTCGATAAGCTGATTGAAGAATGTGGAGGACGAAAGCAATAGTTTAGGAAGGTTCGCACCCTGAACCACTGCCTTACGCACGGAGTAATACCGGGGCCGTAAGTGCTGGCTATTCGGTCAACTTACCAAAAACTAAGATTGCCACCGGGTGATGGTCGAGATGCGGCTGGAAAACGGCGAAAGGATAAGATTAAGATCTTCGTGACTAGTCACAATACCGCAACACTGTCGTCACATGCGTTGTCAACATTTACATAATCAAGGCGAGGAAGATGAAAGCAGATGTATTCGGCATGTGAGAAGCTTGAGGGTCTGCCGCACTTATCGCACAGTTGAACAACGGAATCACATATTTCTTGGGAAAGTGTTCCAAGAACCGGATTGGAGTTCGGGATTCGGGCAGGCGTTATCGGATCCATCGTAAAGAAGAGGGTTGTACGGCTCTTAGTCAGCAGTGGCTTCATGTCACTTTATGTTCTACTGTTTGTTCTGCTGGTGGATAAGAGAAAGTCGTTAAAGATAGTCAGTTTGCAGACCAACACAACAGGCAGACGACAAAGAAGAGGAAATAGGTGTACGA